GTTTTAGTTAACAATAATAACCCTGTGCTGAACTAACCATTTCTTTTTAGTGGATTTCTTCTCCTCTGTGTCCTCTTCTTTCTTTAGCTTGACCTCCGGATGTCTCTGTACCTGGTTGTTCGTGAGGAAGAGGACATGCTCAGTCTCTTCGGTCATGCGGCGGACATAATTCTTCTCGGACTCCTTTCGCCCTCTGCGGAAGTGTGGGATAGGAATATCTCCTGAGAGCATCTTTGGCTTAGAGGCTAAAATAAGAAACATATATGAACATACAGCAAGAAGTCCCCTCCTCCGCTGCCCTTGCCACTAGCCGTGTCATTGTGCAGTTTTTGTGGGTCACTAGCTTGTCTGCAGACAAAACCCAGACAGCATGCGGCCCACATGATCCAACTCAGTTTTCAAACTGCTAAACTACATGCAATTGTTTCAACAGAATCCCAGTAAATCCACACTCCCCTCAACAATAAATGGGTACCAATTATGTGGGTTGACAAAAATAAATATCTTATGAAAGTGAAAGATCAGACTTTCAGTTTCAAAATAATCACTACTGGCCCTCCAGGAATTATGACAATAATTCATATTGACATATTATTGTTAACACATTCATTATCAATAACACCATTACCAATCGTCAAGGCTTGAGTCACACTTTTTAATAAATGACCTATATTTATTAAAAAAGAGAGACTTTTTTTGTTCAAAATGAACTTTTATAAGTGAACTGCAGGAATTAACTTGAATATGAATCGTTTTTCATGTAAGTTTGGGTCTGCTTTTATTGTGCGGTACAAACTGCAACACGTAAAAAATTTTTTTTTAAATTGTGTAAGACCGGCAGTACCTTTTTTCCTCTTTTGGGAGCCCTGTTTCATCTTCTCTTTACTCTTCATGATTTCACGCAAGCGATGAGGAATCTGCTGGAGGTGGTCATCTGATGCAGGGTCAGCATTTTTCTTTGAATTCTTTTTACTAACAAAAGACAAGACACTTTACAATTAGATATCAACTTCAATCAACTGAGTAAACAAAAGCAATGTCTGAGCAATGCTAAATAGTGCAACTGTGAAGCAACAAAA